CTGCAAGGCCAGCCAATTTCCAAACAACATTCGTGCCCGCGCACACGAGCTCAGGCTTGAATCAAGCCTTTTTCAATCTCTGCTATACAATTTTACAAGCTTCAAAAGAGCTCTTGTATATAAGGGGGGGAAATCTTCATTCCAAAGCAATGTGGGACAAAAGCTCACTTTTTCCCTTCATTTTCTAACTCAAATGGGTCTACTTTGAGAATCAATATCTCATTCACCCATTATCCGTTTTGAGCGTACAATATATCTATCTCTTCGTCTCACTACGAAGAATCCGAATCCACTTTGACCCGACCCAAATCAGAAGTGGAGCCCACTGATAATTGTATCACAAAATAGCCACTTAACATGCCATTTTATGCCATTTTAAGCTATTTTTTCCAACAGACTTTACGTACAACATCAAAGGTTCTTGAGAGTTCAAGTGTTTCTTGATAATATCCTCATTAACCTTAAGTTTTTTTACCTAAATTTATTTAACTGTTTATTGCAGTCGATAAACTAGATTACAAATTTGTGTAGTAAACTAATCAAATAGTTAATACTTGACAAAATTACAATTCCTTAAAATGTGTGTTCAAAGTATGCTTATTGACTCATTTACTAGTTTAGCAGTTAACAATTCAAATTATCAATTATGAAATGAAATTGAATCAAATAGAAAGTAAATGAAGAGCAACACACAGAGATTTGTTTACCTAACGCGATGCAATCCACATCTATGTCTGGGGAAAATAAGTCAGGTCGAACAGATCGAGCTTCAAAAAATTAGGCTTGGGCTTATATGTAAGCTTTTTTTTAGGCTATAGTATGAGCCTACAATTGGCTTGGTATGACCTTAAGCCTGTTTAAAAGCCTATTTATATGTATGCCATTAAAAAAATTTAAAAATATAATACTCGTTGTGCCTCAGAAAATATTAATGACAACAGTGACTGAGAAAGGATATTTATAAATTTACTTGAACAATCACAGCCTTGCAATCACAGGAGAGAAAGTGATCAGAAGAATTGGGGATTTTAGAATGTTAGGGTTTGATATATATATATATATATATATATATATATATATATATATATATATATATATATATATATATATATATATATATATATATATATATATATATATATATATACTCAGGTTCCAGTGCGGGTGAATGCTTCCCGTGCGGTTGTGCGGGTGATTAATGTGCGTGAGTTTTATACTTAATGTGCTTGACTCTTGCGCTTAAGGTGCGTGAGCTTTGTGCTTAATGTGCGTGAGTGTATAGTGCTTAATGTGCGTGAGTTTTGTACTTACGATGCGTGAGTTTTGTGCTTAAGATGCGTGAGCTGTGTGCTTAATGTGCAATGTGCGATGTGCGTGAGTGTGTACTTAACCTCTCACTGTTTGTGGTAGAGAGCCAAGTGGGTGAAAGGAGGAGATAAATGTATAGTTTCAGAACGGTATTGTTGTACTGGGTTATTAGCGTCCAACCCACCATCAACGAGGTTGAATTCTCGTTCCCTTCCTTGAGAATCGTTATTCTTGAAATAGTGGGTTGGTAGATAAATTGGTGCTGCAGAGGTGCTAATGCATACTTCTGAGAGCTGCGCATCCCAAATAGAATATTCTGGTGCCTATATTACAGATGACGACTTGAGAAGCGAAGCTGACGCCATTTCTTTCCAGAGATGAGACATTTACTGCTTTTAAGAACATTTATTTTTGTTTATGTGCTTAATGTGCGTGTGTTGTGTACTTAACGTGCGTTAGTTTAATGCTTAATGTGCTTCCAACCGCACAACTGCACGGGAAGCCTCAAATGCACCTGATCCCTTATATATATATATATATATATATATATATATATATATATATATATATATATATATATATATATATATATATATATATATATATATATATATATATATATATATATATATATATATATATATATATATATTTATTTATTTATTTATTTATTTATATATGTTGGTCCCGGTAGTGTTAGAATGAGAGTCTAGAGGGAGGGGGGGGGGGGGGGGGGGTAAATAGACTCTTCTCGATTTTAGGCAGATAGCAATCTTTCGGGGTTGTAGCGCAGCGGATAGATTAAGTTGATTTTAGTTGCTTTGCACAGTTTGAAGTTTTAAGATAACTTTCGGTTTGGACGAATGATAATGCAATGCTAGAAAGTAAAGCACGAAAGTAAAAAGATAGAGAGACGAGAGTTTTTATAGTGGTTCGGCCAACTTTGCCTACTCCACTCTTCTTCCACAACTTATGGAAGGTTTGCACTATCACTCGTTAGTACAAATATACACGAAAGCTTCTTTGATCACTAAGCCGGACAGCTTCCTGTAGGTTTTTCAACTCTGCGAGTTTACTCCGCCTCTATCAACGTCTTCTTCAGAGTTGAGGTTGGTAGAAAATAAATTCTGATTTCTCCAACACGGTAAAGTCTTGACTTAATGATGGATGATTGCTTCGTACAAGATGCAAGACTTCTTCAAGGTGGAAGATGAAGATTGATGAACTTCTTTAAAAATCTTCACGCCTTGAAAACTGGTTCACAAAAGCTTGGTAAGGAGGTGAGCTTGTATAAGAGCTTTTGCTTGAGAGTATTGATCGAGTGAAAAGAACCAGCACCTTCTAAGTTGATGAAGGTGGGTATTTATAGGTGTGGAAAATTTCATCCGTTGGAGGGAGATGATATTTCAAACCTATTATCCAGTGGGTAAGGACCAGGGAGCTTGGCGCAATAAATGCTCCATTAATGCAGTTTGTACCATGTAGCCGTTAGAGTCATGAACAACCTTAGGGTTTTTTGTCTTTTAGCTTATGAAGGATAGTACAACTTCATTTAATGCTCCTGGGTATATGTGTCCCACACTTTAAGGTCCTTTTTGTCCCTATGATGGTTAATCAACTCAGACAGTAGAGACATTCTTCTCGTTATGGGAGAGAATGAGTGTCTTGATAAATCTTCATAAAGGTTACTGTCTTGTCGAGATGGTTGATAACCTGAGGTGATCTTTCGTTGTTGAAGCCTTTGATTTCGTGCTCTTTGTCTCTTTTCGCTTTGGTAGACCTAACTAAGAAACATAACTCGTTTTCGTGTGTTTGTCTAGCTTAACACGAATTACAAAATGAGTTATGGCAACTTTCGTCTAGAACAAAAGCAGTGATAAAAAAATAACGAAAGTTATGGGTCAACATTCTAAGTCACATTGGTATCATCAAAATCCTAATACAAGAGTTCCTAACAATTTCCCCCTTTTTGATGATGCCAAAACCTATACTCTTCTTATAAGGCTGGTAAATGTCCCATAAAGGATTCTTTATTTCAAAACAGCCATTATTGAGAGTTTACAAGTCATTTCTAAAGACAATACAAATTGTTGATAAGATACTGACAAGTAACTTAGACAAACGACACGAAAGATGTAACAACGAAGAATTCATATATAGATAAAAAGACTTACAAAAAGTTTAAGGAGAGCAGAATGTAAAGTATTTTACATTTCTAACAGTTTCGCCTTCTGCAGCTTGGCCTCCTTTCGTTCACGGTTGTCTCTTTCTCTTTGCTCCTTGAACATTCTGTCATAATCAATATCTTTATTGATAAGATCTCTGAAAACCTTGATTGGGTTCTTCTTGACTAGGTCTTCATATTTTCCTTTGATATTGAGGCTTGTATAGTTGTTGTAAGCGTCGAGAATGTTTTCTCCTTCTACAATGCCTAATTTCCACCAAGAGATGAGATCGAAAGATTGCATTCCTTCTGTGTAGCTTTTTCTAGATTCGGTGTGAATTTTAAAAGCTGCACTGTATATGACTCCTGATTCAGATTTCTTGGTCACTTTCGTGACATCTTTGATCAGCTCCTTTACTCGTTCTCTTTCCCGAAGTTCGTGCTCTCTGTCTAGTGCTTCCTTTTCATGCTTGTCCCATAACTCTCTGTTAGTTCTCTTGATCCTTTCGTTTTTGAGAGCTTATGTGGTCTTGCCTTGTATGGTTATCTCTTGTCTTCATCCAGACAGGAACATTGCATCCTTCAAAGCGTTTTCCGCTTCCTTCTTCATAAGGCTTAAATTCAACAAAATTTCCCACACCATCCATTGTTACAGTTCTATCTCTCATAAGCTTTTGCCTGAGGTTCTTCTTTTCTCTCTTAGAGAGTCCACTGAAGTTGAATTTAGATTCAGAACCGAAAGATTGGCGAGGCTTCCTAGAATGATGTCGGGAATGTGAATGCTGGTGATCACGAGACGAGTGATGTCTTGATTGTGAAGGTTGGTGATCACAAGACTTGGAAGTTGGAGGCAGAGACTTTATTCTTCTTCTATCAGAGTCTCTTTGTGCATCCCTATGATGATCATCATCCTTATCATCAGGATTCCTCTTTCCCCCTTTTTGGCATCATCAGCACACGTAGTAGGAGCTGGGGGAGACAAATTGCTAATAGCAATCAAAATGTCTTGCACATACCCAAGAATCTGGAGCGAATACTGACCCATTTGATAGGAGTTATCGTGTGCAGTCTCAATCTTTGTACATGCTAAATCAACTCTCTCTTTGAGACTGTAATGAGAGTGCTTGATTTCATGTTGTTGACGTGCCACCTTGTTCACAGCAGTTTGAAGCTCATGAAGTTCTTTCGCCAGTTGAGCTTTATAAGATCTTTTCGGTTGAGCTGACGGTTGTGATTGAGGTTGAGCTTGAGGTGGAGGACGAGATTGAGCTTGAGCAGCCAAAAGTTGGTCTACTTTCTTGGATAACTCTTCCATGGTTTGGGAATCCTTGCGGCGAAGGGACAGATATTCTTGGTGCATAAGTTCGGCTGTATGAACCGTGCCCATCATTAGGTTCATGATGCGACGTGGAGACATTGGTGGAGAATCGGCTTCAATGTTTGTGGGTGAAGTATTCATTGGTTCCTCTCGAGGTGGTGCATCCTTTTTGCCACCACTGGCTGAGCTGATAAGAATAGGTGTGGCATCTTATCGCTTGATAGGTGATTTGTCCATGTGATCAATATGGGGGACGATGGCACGACATAGATCTTCAAGATGTGCATTTGAAATATCTTCAGCAGGAGGAATTCCAATCTGAGGGGAGGCTTCAAGCAATCCACTTGCTGTTGAGATCTCAGGCCTAAGTGATGCTTCCCTTTTGTCATCACTTTTTGAGGATGAATGTTGAGATGAAGTTCTTTCGGGTATTTGTTCATCAGCAACTAAGAGAGGAGATTCACTATCATAATTCGGGTTACCCCTATTGTTGTCATCATCATCATTGCCTGAATCATCATCTGCATCTTCATCTTCAGCATCATCTTCATCATCATCTTCAGCATCATCATCATTTTCATCATCAACATCTTCAACATGGTCATCTTCTTGGTTCTGTTCATCTTCGGGATCAATCTCCCTTCCTTCATCATCTTTCAATCCGCTGACATTGCACCCCGGATCATTTTGATGAGTTCTTTCCAATTCAGTTTTAATTTTGGATAGGAGAAGTGCATATCGAAGTTCCTTCATTTCTTCAACAAAGGCTGGATCTAAAGGCGGCTTGTTAAGCTCAATGCAAAGGGGTGCCTTTTCTTTCTCGAGAGAGCGATTGGTCACTTTTTAGGAGTACACTCGTCTGATCGTTTCAAGACGCAGTGCTTCATAAAAATCTTTCGTGCCGATCCACTCTAAGGCAAATTCTTCCTCATCCTTCATTACTTCAGATGTTTCAAGAAGTGTATTTAACGGAGATGTGCGCCACTTTTGCCATTGCATGACCCTATTGAATTCATTCTCTATAGATTCCCGAAGCAGTTGATCCCTTGTTGGAGGGATTGGTGCAGCTTCTGGTACTGTCACAATTGCTTTCGGGTCAACAACATTTTCAGCTTTCAAACAGTTGTCCTCAACTACCGATGCATGTTCTTGTGTCAGAATATTCGATACCTGTTCTGCAAGGGTAGGTTCTTGTGGAAGGGAAATTTCGGTGGGAAAAACATCAGCAGCAATCGGGTTAGCAATCACTTCTCTCGTCTCTTCTGGAAAACCAGGTTTTTGTGGGAGACTTAAGTGATTGACCTCCGTTTCCACAACAGCAGGTTCTTGTGTCGAACATGGAGATAGTCGCTCTGCTGAGATGGGTTCTTATGGATGGAGGGTTTTCGGAGGACATGCGTCTGAGGAAGATCTATCCTTCCTTTTCTTGGAAGCTTTCGCCTTATCTTCCCCCTGAGAAGATGCTTCTTTTGCCTTTTCATCCAACTTCGACGAAGAAGGGGGAACAGATTTTGCTTTTACAGGGGAGCGAAATCGTCCTGTTGATTTTTTTCCGAGAGTGGAGAGAACGATATTGTCATCATCATTCGAAGAATCCTCCACAACAACTGGATTCGTTGATGGAACAGGTGGTGTTTGTGTCGTCCTTTCGTCTGGAAGCTCTGTTGTGGACTTTGGTGGTGTAGAGGTCGGTTGCTCTTCAGGTACTTCTTTCGTCTTGACACGAGACGAACTCTTTTCTTTCTTTCGTCGTTTAGGCTTTGGTTGGTCATCTTCCGAATCTTTCGCCTTCTTAGACTTGCGTTTGGATTTGACCAATTCCAATGGTATCTCCAACTCCAACGCTTTCTGCTTGTCATACCCCGTGGGCTTATACTTCATGTGGCACATCTTCTGTCTAGGCCTAACTCATGCTCTTAGGGGGATATTCTTCGTGGTAAGGAGATGACTTACCAAAAATTCGAACCCCATCTTCTTTGAGATATCTCCTACAGATGTTCTACCATGTGTGATGACATGGAGAAGGTTGTTGAAGATGATTTTTGACCAATCTATCTTGTGTTCATTAAGAAATGCGTGCAGCATTTTTAACTTGTCCTTTGTCACGTCGTCTGTGCCCGACGTCTTGTGCTCTACGATCTTATTAAAGATATCCACTGTGAACTCGTAGTCCAATCGGAACCATTTCTTCTTTAGGGGCCACGAGCTTGTGTTGGGAGCTTGCTTATTTTTGATAAATCTATAGAAGTCATTCTGATCATAGTGGTAGAAAGCGAAGTTCGACTTTTATGACTCATCTCGCTGAGGAAATTCGTAGGCCGTCTGAAGATCCTCCGATGTGAGTCATAAAAGTTGAGGTTGGTAGAAAATAAATTCTGATTTCTCCAACACGGTAAAGTCTTGACTGAATGATGGATGATTGCTTCGTACAAGATGCAAGACTTCTTCAAGGTGGAAGATGAAGATTGATGAACTTCTTTAAAAATCTTCACGCCTTGAAAACTGGTTCACAAAAGCTTGGTAAGGAGGTGAGCTTGTATAAGAGCTTTTGCTTGAGAGTATTGATCGAGTGAAAAGAACCAGCACCTTCTAAGTTGATGAAGGTGGGTATTTATAGGTGTGGAAAATTTCATCCGTTGGAGGGAGATGATATTTCAAACCTATTATCCAGTGGGTAAGGACCAAGGAGCTTGGCGCAATAAATGCTCCATTAATGCAGTTTGTACCATGTAGTCGTTGGAGTCATGAACAACCTTAGGGTTTTTTGTCTTTTAGCTTCTGAAGGATAGTACAGCTTCATTTAATGCTCCTGGGTATATGTGTCCCACACTTTAAGGTCCCTTTTGTCCCTGTGATGGTTAATCAACTCAGACAGTAGAGACATTCTTCTCGTTATGGGAGAGAATGAGTGTCTTGATAAATCTTCATAAAGGTTACTGTCTTGTCGAGATGGTTGATAACCTGAGGTGATCTTTCGTTGTTGAAGCCTTTGATTTCGTGCTCTTTGTCTCTTTTCGCTTTGGTAGACCTAACTAGGAAACATAACTCGTTTTCGTGTGTTTGTCTAGCTTAACACGAATTACAAAATGAGTTATGGCAACTTTCGTCTAGAACGAAAGCAGTGATAAAAAAATAACGAAAGTTATGGGTCTACATTCTAAGTCACATTGGTATCATCAAAATCCTAATACAAGAGTTCCTAACAATATATATATATATATATATATATATATATATATATATATATATATATATATATATATATATATATATATATATATATATATATATATATATATATATATATATATATATATATATATACACACACACACACACACACACACTTGAGGTTATATTGTAAATATAAAACAAAAAATATAGGGTATATTTGTAATATATTTTTTTTATCTACACTACTCTCTTCATTGCCATCTTCTCCTTGATCTTCTTCTTGGGTTACAGTCCTCAGCTTCTTGTGCGGTATGCGAAATCTATCAAGAAGAGTTCTTTTTTCATCAAAAGGCAACTGACTCAACTTGGCAAGGGTATGGTACTCATTGCAATCCACTCGATACAGATCGTAGAACCTCAAATTCGGGGCATTCAATATCATCCTCCCTGACTGCTCAGCTACCTCCCCAATCAAGCGTACACCCTTTTGCAGAAAAATCCAACTCAACAGCTTTCCATACGCCATACTTTTGCGGGTAACATTGTTACAGAATTCCATATGACTGATCATGAGGGTAGGTAACTTGAATCTAATTCGGTGCTTCAGAAAATAGGCAAACGTACATTCCAAACTATCAACACTTTTTCCTTTATTCCTACTCGGCAATAAGCCAATAAGTTTTCACTGACAATCAAGGTTAAATTTCTTTGCTCTGGTCAAATCGAAACCCATGTGTATTAATTCATAAGGCCGTATACCATGCATGTAGAGCACGTGGCAGCATGCCAGATGCCCGCCATGTGTTCCCCCTCTGTTCCCTTATAATTAGAGCATTTATTGCTAGAAAGGAAGGACTTTTTAGATTCTCACCTAACCATAGTCAGCTCGGGACTTTGTGACCCATAGTCACTTTTCCCGGAGCTCAGCCACTTCAATCAACAAGTAGATTCGTACAATAATCATACTATCCAAATCTGACTACCTATACTTATCCACGTACCCTGGTGTATTTACCACATCAATAACAAAGATTGAAGATGCATCACATGCTTGTTTGAATAGGAAGTGATACGCACGGAAAAACCAATAATGTATCACTCTAAATTATATAAATTTAACTCAGACAACTCTAATTACGTTTACCATTATGAAGGAACATAATCCTCTTGGTGCTGGGATCGATGATATTACAATGTGAAGTAGCCAAAATTTGTCAAATTAAGCGGGCTTGTAGGGTTCAATATAATATTAGAACGGCATGTCACTATGATATGATATATATGGGTTTGACTTAATTAAATTAGGTATTATTCTTCCCAAATTAGGTATTATTAGGGTGGCAATTCAAAGATACACGGTGGAGATATCATAGAGTCCATGGCTGATACCTACCCTCACACCTAAAGTGTGTGAATATACATTGACATTGACGCATGCTGCATGACTACATTACATCTCAGGGCGGATTCAAAAAATTATCTAAGTGGTGACATAATTCAAATGACTTAAATGTTAATGATAAAACATCAAACACCCATAATATAGTTCAAATACAAAATACATTATAAATTACAATACATTGTTTATGATAGGTTACATGATAGTTAAGGATAGGGGTGTAAACAAAGCAAATAAAAAAAAAATCGATTCGTGATTCGAATTCGAATATGTTGATTCGAATTCGAATATTTCGAATACGAATCCGAATTCAAATATTTCTCGAATGCGAATACGAATTAGAGTGTATTCGATTCGAATAGTATTTGAATAATTTATGCTATTTAAATATAAATTTTTATTACATTTTATCTTAATTTATTAGAGAATTTTGTAAAACAATTAAGTTAGGCATTTCGAATTCGAATATTCGAGTCGAATTGAATATATTCGAATAAACTGGTCGAATCGAATACGAATCAAATTTGATATTTGAATATTAAACGAATACGAATATTCGAATATATAGTCGAATTCGAATCGAATACTGGGATATTTGACTCGATTCGATTCGTTTACACCCCTAGTTAGGGACAGAGCCAATACTATACTTGGATAGGGTGAAATTTTAAAACATTTTAATATGATATAAAAATATTTTTGACAAAATATGAAACATAATCAATTAGATAAAATAGTTTGAATAGAAAAAACATTATATCCATAAATACTTTAATTTTAATTTTCTTTTAGCTAAATCAACTTTAAGTTTTTTCTAAATTAATTTAAATAAGAAGAAGTATAATAGAAACTTACAATCACTACATTAACTAAATGATTCACAAAAAAGTAGATTTTAAAAAACATTTAATTTATTAATGGGTTAGAAGGATTAAAATAAAGAAAATTAAAGAACCTAAAATATATTTCATGACATTTTATGTCATACCAAGGTTGCAACCAACTAAGCTACTCAAGTATATAGTAATTTGTCCATAAATTTTGATTATGTGTGTGTGGATCGAAAGGGTGAGGGGGGCAATTGCTCTTATTGCTTCCATTGTAGATCCGTCCATGATGACAGTAAATGTAGTTGTAACAAAGTTATAATTACATGATTGTAAACTTGTTTAATTATTGT